GGAGGGCAGCAGCCTGGGCGGCTGGGTCGCAGGCCCGACTACCGGAACGGGGGCGCCGCTTGCGCCGCGAGACCTACCGGTTATCTTTGTGCTGCCCTCGCCGTCCGGGTGGAGAAGCACTATGAGTCGGTTCATGTCGGGGCTCCAGTGCTCCAAGACACCTGCGTTGAGAAATAATCCGAAGGAAATACTTGTTAGGGGAAAGTAACAGCTTAACAAACGACTGTGGTATTACTGAAAGCTGACAGGAATGGCCATCTTTCAGCATGATGTCACAGGGAAAGTGCCTTATCGAACCGTGAGCCAGAAGGTAATTGAACTCGGGAGCACTGATGGATGAGGTGTATTTTATGCTTAACTTGCAGGTACCAATGTCCAGTCCACAAAGTAGGTGTTTTCCTCTAGGAAAGGATGTTTGCAAACTGAGCCACTTTAAAAATATAAATTGATCGATGTGTTCACTTTTAATCGAAATCCTGTTAAGAAACGAAAGTGTGCAACTCCGTCTCTTGATTCTGTTTTGCAGTCACCCCTGGGAAACGGTAACAACAGCTGCCATGCAGAAATACCCAAATCCCATGAACCCCAGCGTGGTTGGAGTCGATGTCCTGGACAGACACGTAGACCCCAGTGGGAAGTTGCACAGCCACAGGCTGCTCAGTACAGAATGGGGAATACCCTCTATTGTGAAATCGGTATGTGTGGCATTGCGGAGCTTGAAAAGGATGCCGGAAGGAGGGGAAGCTTGTAAACCAGGTGTTGTAATAGGCATTTCATAACTTAATGGCTTAAACATCTAAGCATTTATGTATCACAAAAGCACAACAGCAGTACACATAGTGACTTCTTGATAGCCAAAAATAGCTTAGATCTTAGATTGCTTCCATCTTTAAAATGAGATCTCCCTCAACTTAGTAGTTTAATTTTAAGCTAATTCTGTTGTCTCAGTGTCTGTTCAATACAATAAGCACTTCTTGTGCATTTAGAGGCACTAAAAAAACTGCAGCTGGTTAGCGTAATTCATTCCGTATGTTTGCCTGTCTTCCAGCTCATTGGCACGTGCAGGACAAAGACGTATATTCAGGAGCACTCTGTTGTTGACCCAGTGAAAAAAACAATGGAGCTTAAGTCCAGTAATGTAAGTCGTTGTGTTTATGCAACTGAAATACTTTACAGATTATCATAATTCATAATATCGTCACGAAAATCACGCAAAAATGGCATTAGAACAATCCAAGTTAAAGGTTTAAGTAATGTGTTTGTAGTTGACCGGTTCTGTTTTTCAGAAAGGAGCTACTGGGTGTTTGGAACTTGTCAGGACCGAAGTGTCTGTGCAGACTGATGAGCAGGCTGGCAGTAGTTTGGGGGGACCGGGGGGGGCGGGTTCAGGAAAAACCTTTACAGATTATCATAATTCATAATATCGTCACGAAAATCACACAAAAATGGCATTAGAACAATCAAAGTTAAAGGTTTAATTTCAGAAAGGAGCTACTGGGTGTTTGGAACTTGTCAGGACCGAAGTGTCTGTGCAGACTGATGAGCAGGCTGGCAGTAGTTTGGGGGGACAGGGGGGGCAGTGTTCAGAAAAAACCTTAAAGGCCATTTGGTGTGCCCTGTCACCATTTCCTTATCGTTTAGCATTTTGCGCTCTGTACTACTCCGTCAGACTGATCCCACTCCTGAAAGGTTCTTAGATGTGGTAGTGTGTACTGGTAAATGATCCCAAAATGCTCAGCAAATGATGAACCTGGGGGGTTCTTAAGCTTGTTCCCTAACCTGAACACTTGCAGGAGAAGTGAAATGTTTAAATTGGATATAAACATCAGCTTTGAATCTGCAGTTTTATTTACGACGTTCCTTTAGTATTTTTATCAAGGGGTGATGTTTTCTTATGTTCTGCAGATTTCATTTACAAACCTGGTGTCGGTAGATGAGAGGCTTGTCTATAAACCACACCCTCACCAGCCAGACAAGTGAGTACCTCTTTGTACTTCAGGGTGATCTCAGTACAGACTTTGGCTTTGAAAATTCCCGTGGTTTCCCCTGGACGGAAGATGAGGTTTACATCCCCTTGTCTAAAGAAGAGTTAAATGGACTGTTACTTTCTCTAGTGATGCTGGTTCTGCAGAGCACTGCTGGGAGACTTGCTGTCATGCTGTGACGGAGTCCAGTCCAGTTTCTCAGGGAGTTGTCCTGTGTCCTGGCTGTAACTGAGTTTACATATGTCTTCACTTATCAGCTCCTTACTTCTGATCTCCTCCGCAGCCTGAGCACAGAACCTGGACTGGAGGCTCCTTTAGCTGCCTTTAGGCTGTAATTTTGGAGGTGTGGCTGTGGGGTTTTGTAAGGCAACTTTAGAGCTTGCCACATCTAAACTCCTGGAATTAGCAATAATTCTGAAGGATCTTTCTAGGGATTGTAACGTAAGAGGTGTTTTCTCGTGTGGCAGTCAGAAATGTTACATCCCTGGTGCTGAAGTATGTCTTAATACCATCTCCCCAGTATTCCTTCACTGGAAATCTGCTGCTTCCACTCTCAGCTCGCTGCTGCTGAAGATGGAAATAGTTGAGTGTCACAAAGGGACACCTGAACTTAGTGGGACTCTTGGTTTTTGTGAGTGGCAAGAAGCATAAAGCAGTTAAGCACTGTGGCAGTGAGCTGTGTTTATGGGGCAAGTTCTGTGTTCTGCAGTGAAGCTGATGAGGAAATGTACTTGTTGGGGAGGAGCAACTTTCAGTGATGCATTCTTCTCTTTAAACTACTCGGAATAATTCAGCTCTCTGCTCTCTGTTTCAGAACCATTCTGACACAAGAAGCAATAATATCTGTAAAAGGTGTCAGTCTCAGCAGTTACCTAGAAGGGCTAATGGCAAACACAATTTCCTCCAACGCTAACAAAGTAAGTGTGACCCCAATGTGAAATGTGTGACTGCGGGCTCCGTGACAAGGGGAATAGAAATCGTGGTTTTACTTTGTGGCTTTGTCAACAATCTCAGGAAGGGTCCCCATAGTTCTGCTGCCTTTGTTGTAGAGACTGAATGCTCAGCTTGCTGGATTTCTTCCCTCTTTTAGTCTTGTGAAGGGAAATAATAAATTATTATTGGCCAAGCTCTCCGAATCTTCACTGGAAAAATATCTCCACTGGCTTCACCGCCTGGCGCTGTGGCTCTTCTGCTGCCCACTCGGTGCCATCTATTAGCTTTTGCCGTGGAAAAAGGATAACCTCCAGACAGATCTGAAGTAGTTACGTGGGAGTAATGAAGTGGTGCTTTAGTTGAGAGCCTGTCCTCTGGGAATCCAGAGTTGTCGTGAGTTCAGCCTCAGGAATGGTAAAACAATCTGGATAAAAAGTCTTTTGTGGCTCATAATGTGAGCCCTGCTGACAGGAGGAGTTTTTTCATGAAATGTAAGGCAGTAGGTGTTCCTGCAGTACTCTGCTTACTGAAGTAAAAAATACCCGAGGCAGGTATTTCTGTACCTCTTCTTCCTTTTTCAACTACTGTGTCCTCACTGATTTTCAGTAAGATAGGATTTAACCTATTTTCTAAGATTTATACACTGATAAATATTTCTTTAACTGTAGGGCCGTGAAGCATTGGAATGGGTAATTAATAGACTGAATGCAGAAATCGAAGAGTTCACAGCTTCAGCGAGAGGAACCATGAGGAACTCCATGGCGGCAGCAGCATTTGTAGAGAAATGACAGTAAATATACCTGTGTTACTAATCGTTTAACAGTCTGAAGCTTCTCTCCAAACCTAAACACACGTATCCTTTGTTATTTAAAGGTATACCTGTGTCTGAGGCATGTTTCAAACTTAATTTGGAGAAAAGCTGAATCCTTACTAATGGGGCTGCTGCCCAAAGCTTGGTTCAGCCGGGCTGCGTTTCGGTTGCAGACGAAGAAATAATTTTCAAGTATAGTTCCTGTATTTACATGAACACTAACTTATGTTTTCAGATATGAAATAGCCTTGTTTAGCCATGAGGCTGCACATGGTGGGGGAGACTGGCATGTTAGGTTAACTTCTGTGGAATTGTGGGTTTGTGTGTGACTTATGGACTACCTCTTTTGGGACCAAGCCCAAAATTAAGCAGAATGGTTTGTTCCAGCATTGTTCTGTTTGTTAGTTTTTGATAGTTGTGTGATACAACTTGGTTTAATAGAAAGTTTATTACTTGATGCTTGAAATACATGTACAAAATATTTTTTGATAAGCTTTTTAACTTGCGTGGTTGAGCTAACATGGTACTCAAATTGTTTTTCAGTCATACAAAACGTCTCTTATTTACTAAGACCTAAATTCTGTTTCTGAAAGCGGGATTCATGAGCTGGATGTGCAGTAACTTAAAATAAAATGATCTTAAAACTTCTAGAGTAAGTATCTCCATTACTAAAAGCCCATTAAATAAAGGGGTACATTGAGCATAGAGCCTTAAAATCCTGCAAGCTGCTAGGGCATCTAAGAAACAGTAAGTGTTCACTTCAAAATTTCAAAGAACCACTTAAAGGACTAAAAAAAGGTCAAGCTGGCTAAAGAGATACCTAAACATAAGAGGAAGTGATACTGAAGAATTTTAACGATACATTCATTAACTTGATCATGCTCCCAAAATAACCTGTTACATCAACTGCCGTTGTCCTTTAATTTAAACAGTGTTCTAAGTTCCAGAGGCTCCTTTACCTTTTGACCTAATTTGTTCTCAATACAAGGCTCGTTAAATGAAAACCTTGAGAATACAAGGTTTCCTACAGTTTGTGTTTGTTTCGTGGTACTCGCTGTGAAGTCTTGGTACTGTCACTCGTCAAGAGCTGTGGGAACGTGAAGGTCAGACCTTGACACCCTTCATCACTCGGTGTACCAGTCTGCTGTTGACCTCAGCAGGGGCTGGCTGTCCCTTCAGCGTGAAGGAAAAATGGAAGGACACAGCCCTGAATTAGCTGGTGCCAGAGGCTTTTCCTGGAATTCTGACTCCAAGCTTACAAGTAATTTCAGGACTCAGCCTTTAAGAACTGTAATGTCACCTGTTCCAGCACATTTTACACTGCAGGCCATTTCTGTTTATATCAAAATTGCCTACTGAACAGTGTCTGCTGTACAGAGAACCAGAGCTTATTTTAAGGGGTAAACACATGGGAAGACAACTTCCTGTAAGATTTGGTAGGGGGGGGAAAAACAGGTATATATATATAACTTCTAAAAATGTAACTATTCTAAATATTTTTCTAGAAATAAATGCTTTGAAACTAACAATAAATTGAAATAATTGAGGTTTGTCATGCTTTTACAGGCCGTTATTACAACTGAAATAGCATTTCAGTTTAAAAAGTGTGTGAAACTGCTTCAAATCAGTACCATCGTTTCTGATAAAAGTGCAGTGCTTGAAATTGATTGGAAATGTTTGCTTAGCCATCAGCATCACCAGGCATTTTTTTCTTTTCCTAATTTTCCTGCACTAAGGACTGTACAGTATGGACTCACAGTTTGCCCTTGCACTGAAAAAAACTTTTAATTTTTGCAAGCATTCAACAACTTTGTGAAAGCTCATGATTTTATTTGTTCTATATTATTTATATGCCTGCATTCTTACTCTGTCAGGGAGTATGACTTTCTGTATGTGGTGCTTTTTAAATAAAACTTCATCTGAGTTCTGGCTAATTCTGTGAAACATTCTGATCTATTTGCTTTTTCTAACTGCTAGGTGAGTAACCTGAAATGAGGAGGGTGAGGGTGAAGAAATACTCTGGAGTTAATAGCTTCTTGTATTACCTGATTGGTATCTAAAAGTTGAAACAAGGAATGCAAATATTACTTTTCAGATTTGATATAAGAATTGGCCATACTAGTGGTGGGATTTTGGTGTGAACTTAGTAAAGATTTTTTTTTACTGTAAATTACACTCACCTTCATTTCTAGATTGAAACAGGCTTGGGATGGTTAAAGCAGCAGTATAAAGGGTTAACTTGTTTTACATTAACTGCAAGACATTCCAATTACAGATCTATAGGGCTTCACATTTTTTCAGTGGTGTGTAGTTGTCTAGCTTCCATGTACTCATCTGCACTATAAACTTGTTAGACTTGTGTGTTTGCATCTTGCTCATTGCCTGCTACTCTCACATTCTGCAAGGTACTGCTTGGGACAGTCTGAAATGATGAAAGCTGCTACCGTGGAAGAAACCAAAATCCTCAATTTACTGTGACACTGAAACAACTTGAGTGTATATGAACATAATACCACAATAATGCCACTTTCTTCAGTCAGCAATAGAAATTAAGTACTTTTAAAAAGGCTTACTTTACCTGAGAAGTATTTCTTCTTGCTGACAGTGGGTGTCAGCACCTGTTCTGCCATATAGCAGTTAACTATAAATGTAAACCAGTTGTTCGTTGTGGAAAAAACTTTAACCTAGAAAACTGCTGATCTGCCTGTTGTGCTCTATATTTGCAGTTCAGCATATAGAACTGCACAGTGACTGTCACAGACAGTAAAACTAAGCACCCAGTGTCTAGCCACGGCAGCCTTTCAAAGCCCCTGGCACTGACAGACAGCCGGTTCATGGGAAAGATGGGCATCCTGCTGAGGTTCACGCTCACAGAACTGGAGTGCCAATAAAGGGGGCTTCTGTGAAAGCCCTGAGTCGTTCTAGAATCCTTCCTTTTCTCAAAGTGAAGGTGGTTCTGTCACTTGCACAGCACCTGTTCGCTTCTCAAATAATTTGACAGCTTTGCTCGATACGTTGCAATAAAAGTGAATTATTCTAAAGGTGACGTTACGTGTTACAGTTAAGCTGAACTAATTCTTACCTTCAGTGAAAGGAAACAGTCCCCTGTCTGTCTGTGCCTTGTTCCTGGCTGTGCTGTCCTACTTCTTCCCCTGTGCTGAAGGTAGTGGTCTTCACGCCCTTTTTGTTGAACCAAGTCAGCTTGCAGAGCCAAAACAGAACTAGAAGTGGTATAATCTTGATGCAGCCAGCAGCAAGGTGAGACACTGAAAGAAGAAGGGAGCATCTCCTTATCTGTAGGAAGCTATTCGATGGGCTGAAAGTACATTGCCTCTAGAATGTGTTTTACAATAACTTCACGTTGCATCTGTTGGAGTATCTGATGCAGTAAAGACTGTTACGTTGTTATAACAGAAAAAATGGCAGTTTTGTAAAACATGAAGTTAAAACGTTCTTCTCAGGCACATATCACAAGTTCAACACAAGATTGCTTTTTTTTTACATTTCTTTTTCTCCAGAAAGGTTTGACAGTCCTTTAATCAAAAAGTTTCAAAAGACTGAACTAAAAAAAGTATCAGCTAAATAATAAATATAATATCTAGCTGAATATATCAGATTGAATAGGATAAAATTAACAATATATGTCGTAAATACTTTCCTAATCCTTTACCGAATCCTTTTTACACCAAATGAAATTAAACAACTGCCCCTGCTGTGAACTTCCATATTCCTAGAGCCTGTTCAGCTTTTGTGGTAAGAAATCTGTGCTGTAATATGGCAAGGAGCATCGTTTGGGTGAGTCCTTGTTAATGGGTTTTAGGGACTATGTAGGTGCAATTTACATGTGAGATAACTGCTTCGGTTTACCTAGATCCAAACTCATTTACATACAGCAGTTGCAACAAAATCTAGGAGGTGTGTTGTGAAATGGGGAGTAAGGAAGTGTGTATCAGAATCCATATTTGGAATTCACTACGTTTTATAGTCATGTCATATTCTGAAGGATCTAGCTGAAGTACTGGAAGCACTTCACCTTCTTAGCCTGATGCTCTGTACAGTGGTATTTTCTCTGCGTGTAACTGCCAGCTTTGAGCGACAGCAATCTATGCAATTGCCCTGCTTTTCCTGCAGAAGAACAGCTGGAACAAAGGGAAGCAGGGTGCTACTGCAGGGATGATGTTATTTCCTTGCCTGCAAAGTGAGATGCAATAATGGCCCGTATTTACCTGGAATCCTACGTCTTCCTTGTCTGTCAAAGGAGCGTAAGCTCTATCAGACAAACGTTTCTGAAAACAAGCTCCAGCCACTGATGTCACCTAGGTGCTTTTAAAACTTCCATGCAATATTGTGGACATAATGTTTTACATTATCATCATGCTACTGTATCATAACAACATTTAAAATACAGCTAATAAAAATGATTAAGCACATTAAAATAGGAAGTAATGCACAAGATTCTTAAAACCTGAGTGTACCTGAATTCTGCTCTGCAGATCCTGGGTCCCTCCACAGACTATTTATGCCAGATTTTGTGGAAGGGACAGCTGAGAACTTGGACGACACTGCAAAATGATTTTGCCTTTGAATCCAGGTGTGCAAAAGTTAAAAATTAATGTCTTCACCTGCTTCAACTAACCTTCAAAACATTGCCTATAACGGGAAACCACAGAGAACCGCACCTTTATTTTAAGATCGGAGCCGGTTTCGGAGTACGCTTTCTGCTGGTGCGCCGTGCGGAGTGCGGTACTTAGACGAGGAGATTTAACAGGAGATGACCCGTATTGTCATCAGCATGGCATTTCCAGTAGCTGTAGAACAGATTAGGGTCATCAGCAGAGAGAACAGCAGAGCTTTACCAGCACAGCCCAATATGGCTTACACAGGCAGAGAAGGGAGATAAATCCACAGCTATCAAAGGTAGGAAGCGTTATTACTGACCTGTACATTTTATACAATAGTGGCCAGAATTCTGTGTTCCTTGAC